CGGCGGCGAGCGGGGGGGGGTGGGGAGCGGGAAAGGGCGGGCCTTTTTTCTTGGAAGGCTCGGGAATCCCCCTGCCCTCTAAGAAGTTTCCGATGCCTTCCCGAAAGGCACAGAACACCTCACAGATGGCGCGAGGGCTCCTGAGAAGCCCCGCCGCCTTCCGAGAAGGCCTCCTCCTACGCACTTCCCCCCCTCGCTCGCCCACTGAAGGTTAGGGCCCCATTCTTGGAGCCGCCAGGGGCCCTCCAGGGGTCCCACAGGGGCCCCAGTGCGAATAGAGCGGAGATCTACGCCATGGTAAGGGAGTGAGGGGAGGGGCAGGACGTCAGATATGACGCGAGCGCACCTAGCTTGTTCCTCCTCCTCCTCCTCCTCCTCCTCCTCCTCCTCCTCCTCCTCCTCCATCCCTCTTCCTTTGAAATAATTTGTCCCTGTCGCGCCCCGAGGACAGTTTTTAGGGCGGGCCGGGCGTTCCAAAAGTTGCAAGGGTTTCACGCATTCCCATCAGCAGCGTATAAGGAATGGCGTTTTGAAAAAAATAGGATTATGCGGGTGAAACGTGGATTCTATGTATTTTGAAATCCTAAGAATGGCCTTTGGGCAAGATTCGGGATCGTCAAGACGCAACAGTCAGGTTGATCCGTGGCGTTGGAATCACGACAACAATGTCTTCAAAAGGGTGTTTTCCAACGAGGCAGCTCTCTCAATAGAAATGAACCGTTGTAGGGGCCTATGAGAAGAAGGAGCTTGGAGGAAGGGCTTACTCCAACATCGTTGATGCCTCTTGGATTTACACTGGTCCTCCTCCTCCTCCTCCTCATCCTCCTCCTCCTCCTCCTCCTCCTCCTCCTCTTTCTCCTCTTTCTCCTCCTCCTCCTCCTCCTCCTCCTCCTCATCCTCCTTTTCTTCACCCCAAACTGGGTCACCCCTCATTACCGCCCGCCCGAGACCCTCGAGCCCCGATCGCTAACCAGCCACGACCTGACCCCAGTCCCGAAGATTGGAATGCCCAGAGAGGCAATGACGATCGTAAAGGTGCGCCCTCAGAAGCGGAGGGGGTCCTTGAGATCGGCGTCGCAATGAGATGATGTCAGGCATAAGGACATGGATGTGCTTCAGGCTGGTGGTGGGCCCTCGGCCCCGAGACTCTCGACGCTTTCTTTTCCAATAATGATCCGAGGCCACCAGGTGAAAGCTTGATCTCTACATATATGGACAGTTTGAGGCCCCCGGGGCAGTCCTGAATGGTCCAGGGCCCCCCTGGGTGCCGGGAAAACGCCAGGACAACTCGGCAGAAGACTTTGAACATTTTCACGCGGCTACACGAGGGAAGGCCATGATGGGGGTTGAGTCGGGCATGTCCCTCTACAGGAGGAAGATTCAAACATAGTCGAGCGTAAGACTGTGACGATGTTTTGTTGTACTAGTTTGGAATGCGTTTCGACTATCTTCAAGTTGTTCGTCCAAAACGTGCCCGTGGGTGGACATGCCCGACCTGATGCTGGGGAGCCACGATGGAGGGCCACGCCGGGGGGCCACGCCGGGGGGCAAGGATAGGAGGGGGCCACGGGGGGGCCGCGGCGGGCGGCGGGGGGCCCCCGCGGGTGGGCCGCCAGCTCCGGGTGCCTGGGGGCGAGCTTTTTTGAAGGGGCCCTGGGAGACACAAATAAATACACACAAATAAGAGGATTCCCCAAATTTTCTTATATTTTCTGGGTTTTCGTCTTCCCCCCCACTTCCCATATCTTCCCATATGTTCTGGGAAATCGACGATGAATTGTGTCTGTGTTTTTTCCCCTCCTGAGAGCTTTCTTTTTCGAGGCACGCAGCACTCCGCCCGAGGAGGTCCGGGCACGCCCGCAGGGGCGCGCAGGGCCGGCGGGGGGGGGGGCGCTGTCTCCGCGTCTTTGGCCATCTTGGCCCGCTTCTGTACGGCCTCGTCGATGTACTGCTTCCTCGGGGCGGGGGCGGCGCCGGCCGCGCGCCGCAGGGCCGTCGTTTCCGCCCGGGCGGCGCTGGGTCGCCCCGGGGAGCCAGGGGGAGACGGAGAGACAGAGAGAGAGAGAGGGTGAAGTCAGAGAGGAGAAGGAGCACGGAGAGAGCGCGAAGGGAAGAAAGAGAGAGAGAGAGAGAGAAGGCGAGGGATAATACTTATATATGTCTATACATACACGCATCAAGATGTATTTGGACATCTGTATCGAATATCGGCCTCGTGCGGGGCTACACCGAAAGCCCCAGCGGCAGGTTCCGAATGGCGCACCGGCGCCCGACTCGGCGCAGGGGAATCTCAGCCACGCGCGCCGGTCGCCCCGAGAGGAGTCCAGCGACGCGCGCGGGTTGTCCGCGGCGCGAGGTCATGCAGTTGGGCAGTCGAGAGGGGGCGAGACTCGGGCGGGCTGTTCCCCAGGTCGGCCCTCGCGGATACACGCATTGAGACCCAGCTCCTTGGCGAGGTTGTCGCCAATCTCTGCCTCTCTCTCTCTCTCTCTCTCTCGCTATCTCTCTCTTTCTCTCTGACTTTCTCCCTCTTTCTCTGTATCTATATATATATATATATATACACACATACACATTCTCATAATAGTTAAAGATCATGCATGGAAAAAGAAACGGGATGCCCCCCTATGCCTTTTTCGACGGTCCTCCCCGGCCCCGGGGTACCTTTCGAACGGACGTCCTAGCTTCCCCAACCAGCCGCCCGCGCGCCGAACGATCGGATAGAACGCTTTTCATGGCTTCCAGAACGACCCCAAACAGGCCCACAAGACTCCCAAGAGCGCCGCTACATGAAACAAACTATGCTGTTCCAAAAGTGTTTGACAGATTTTGACGTCCCCGACATTCCGGACATCCTGCATCCTACGAGGGCCCAACCGAGATTCCCCCAAGACGGCCCAAGAAGCTTCCAAGACGGCCCCGAAACGGCCCAACAGAGCCCCCAGACGCCCAAGTTGGCTCCAAGACGGCGTGCAGCGCGCCCCACAGACGACCAGGGGCGCGCCAAAGATAGCCCCACAGACGCCCAGGGGCGCGCCCAAGCGCGCAGGCTGCCCCGCGAGAGAGCGCCCCCAAAAATGTGCGCACCACCACCACCACCACCACCCTTGACCTCGCCCAGTGCCCGTAGGACGACGAGGAGGAGAAGGAGGAGGACGAGGAGGAGGAGGAGGAGAAGGAGGAGGACGAGGAGGAGGAGGAGGAGGAGGAGGAGGAGGCGGAGGAGAAGGTCCCCACCGCCCCTTCCCCACTCGGGGCGGCTGCGACGGTCACCCTTCCCGTCCGCCCCCCCCCGCCGGCAGGGAGAGGGAGACGCAGGCGGCGCAGCCTTCGCACGCCGGAGGCGCGCCCAGGAGGGCGGGGCGGGGGGGCGAGGGGGGGGGGGGCAGCCTGGAGAATAATGCAGCCTTCACACCACGCCTCTTGCTGGCTCTCCGCCCTCCAGACTGGGGGCACCTGGGACAGAAAGAGGCAGCACCACCCCTGAGAAGACCCTGAAATTAGGTCGGGCCTTTTCTCCTACAGGCGGATGTTGGACGAAAAATAAAAATAGCCCAAAAATAATCCAAACAAATCCCAAATACGAATTAATCGTCCTCTGACTATTTTTGTCTATCTTCTAATATTCCTCCTGTAGAGGGACACGCCCGACTTCACGTTAGGGACAGGAGGCAGCAGCACCCCCCCCCAAAGAAGACCCTACAAAGGCCGCCCCCCACGCCCAGCTCCATGCTCAAGATCGATCCTCGCATCCCTCCTTTAGCGAGTCCCGACCATGATCTGGGCGATTCCGGAAACCCAAAGGCGTGTTCATCTCTCGGGGGCGCACTTCTTTACTTCCGCCGACTTCCGCCGAGCTTCCGCTGGCGGAGGCGGCCTCGCTCCACTTCCGCCGCCCTCCGCCGGCCTTCCGCCGCCTTCCGCCGCGGAAGAGGATGGCAACTCCTTCTATCCTCGAAGGCACGGCCCTTTTTCCTGGAGTCGGGCCCAGCGCAGCCTTGGGCGACGAGGGTCCTCCCAGGGCTCGAGAAAGCGGCGGACAACATCGAGATGCCCTTCTTTCCCCCCTCCCCCCCCGTGCCGACCCCCCCCCCGAGATGCCCTTCTTGCCCCCCCCCCCCCCGGGCCTACCCAGCCCGCCCCCCGCACCACCTCCCCAGACCTCCGGCGGCTGGATCCGTTCGAGTCGCTGCCTCCCAGATCTCTCGACCCCACCCCCAGGAGGTCTGTTCGTCCTGAGTGGCTTCGGATGGCCTGGGAAGCAAGAGCTTACCAGCCTCGAACGTATCCCTATCCCTAAGATTGACACGCCAAAAGGCGATGACAATCTTAGGGATTCGCCCTCAAAAAATAAGGGAATCCCTAAGATTGGCATCGTGATGAGGAGGTGCCCAGCATAGGGATAGGGATATGTTCCAGGCTGGTAAAGAGCGGCCCATCAACGCCGAAGGTGCCGAAAACCTCCGGCGCGATCCTTTCGGGGTGCCAGGGTCTGGGCCCCTGATCCTCGAGGCAATCGAGACCTTTTGCGCGCCACCGCGTGCATGGCATACATGTGTGTGTGTGTGTGCGCAGCTATGAAGGTGTATCTCTACGGGGCCACGTGGATGGTCCACCGCGCGTATGGCCAGACCTCCGCCGGGCGCACGACGGTTCGTGGCCCCTCCGTCCAGGGCCCCACGTCTGTCCGAGGCTAGCGCGTTCACTTCGGGTCTGGCGACGGGGGGGGGCCAGCCAAGGGAGGGTTGGCCAATCAGCTCACGCAGCTGGCTTTCCCAGCGCAGTTCGGCGCCGAGGAATGCGCCTGGCGGCGGGGCCGAAGCCGGATGCAGCAGATTTCGTTATCCCCCGCCCTTTCCCCATCCCCACCTTCGTCCGACCCGATTCCCCCCCTTCCCCGCACCGATCCCCGCACCCCGAGCACGACGGAGGTTGGCTGCCATTGTCGCCAGCGCCCGAGAGCTGGAGATCCCGCGCGCGCTTTCCGGCACGACGCCTGCTCACAGCCGGCCGGCCCCGGCGCAGAACGCGTGCGCCGAGCAGGGCCTCCAGAGCACGCCCGCGCCCCGCAAATTAGCGCGGACTGGCGACCGGCGAATGGAGGAGGTGTTGAGCTCCAACGCTGGAGGGAAAGAGCACGACTGCGGTCGAAAACTTTCGCTTAGCCTGTCACGGCGGCGGCCCCGGCGACACGCTATGCCTTGGGAGTGGATAGCGTGTCGCTCCGCTCCGCGGGGGGGGAGGTCGAGAAAAGGCGGGGGACGTTGACGTCTTGGGACTGGGACGTGGATAGCGTGTCGCGCCGCAGCGTGGTGGGCCATAATAACCGGCGGAGCGGCAAGCTCAGCCAATGTTCCTGACCGCGTCACAACCAAGACTGAACGCAGAAACGTCGATTCGATCCTGGCTATCGACCGTCTTGATCATCGTCGCTCCGGGCATCATCCTCGCGACTCGGCGACGGCCGGCATCGACCATAGCCAAAATCGGCGTCGACACGATCGCGCGACATCTTGGTCATGGCCATCGTGCTTCTTCCCACGAAACGCCCAGGCTCCGCACGTCAGGTTGCTGACGCGGGCGGGGGGCGCTGCAGCCCGCAACCCCGAAGCGCAGATCAAAAGCGCGGCGCCGCCTGTGCCGCAGACTCCACGTTTTCGCGGCACTGGCCCTGTACAGCACACGATGATGTCCGCCGCTGCGTGCTGGCTGCTGGCGGCGCGCCCAGGAGCAGGCCTTCTCGGACGGCGGGACTTCGGGCGTTGGCAGAACTGGGTTTGGAAGGACCCGGTTTAGTGATGTGTACCGGGGGACGCCCCCCTCCCCGCCGCGTTCCACTAACCGGAACTGCCGTCACCCGAAAAAACAGCAGCTACGGCAGACCTGGTTTAGTGATTCTGGCCAATTTAGGGGCTCCGAGGGCCTACCACTAACCGGGTCCCCTTACCCGGGGTCCTGGCTATACCCGAGGGCTTCTCAGACGCCCTCCGGCCTTCTGCGAAGCCATCTGGAAAAGGCCAAGAAAGCTTCCCTGAAGGCCAGAGGCCTACTGAGCCTTCTGACAGGGCCCGCCCCCTCTGCCTTCCCACCTGCGCGCGCCGCCGAGACTGGCAATACCAGAGAAGGGGGAACAGGAGGAGGAGGGAGGACGAGGTCGAGGACGAGGTCGCGGACGAGGACGAGGACGAGGAGGAGGAGGAGGAGGAGGAGGAGAAGGGATGATGATGATGAGGAGGAGGAGGAGGACGAGGAGGAGGGACGAGGAGGAGGAGGAGGAGGAGGAGGAGGAGCAGGGTGGCGGTGGGCGCTGCTAGCTCCCTCCTCGCCTGGGGGCAGGGCGGCGGGCCGCACCGCGCACGGCCGCGGACGCTGCGGCCTTCGCCCGAAGCGCGGTCGCCGCCTCGGAGGAGGGCGAGGAGGAAGAGACGGAGTACAGTTCCCTGAGATCCCGGCGACACGATTTGTTCGAGCCGGGCAGTTTCGCCTTCCTGCGGGCCCCAGGGCCCTCACGGATCGATCCGGCTCGGAACCTGATGTAGCCACGAACCCCGACCTTGGAGGACGAGTGGGCGTGCCTTGCGAGGAAGGGAAAAACCAAGAAGAGGATGCCTATGTGGCGCATAATGCTGATTCCCGTGTTGTCCGTTTGACGCTGTGCCGCATTCAGACGCATTATGTTGGTTCCCGTGCTGTCCGTTTGATGCTGTACTACTTTGCCGGGGCGTTTCCGACCATCTTGGAGCCGTGTTGGGCAATCTTCGGGCCCTGGGGCGTATCCGACCATCTCGGGGCCCTCTTAGGCCAGTCTTGGTGCCCTCTTGGTGTCCTCTGGGGGCGTCCTGGAAACTTCTTGGAGGCTTATTGGAGCCTCTTGGGGCCTCTTGGGACCTCCTGGGGATTCTTTGGGGGGAGAGCCCGAAATGTTGGTCCCTGCCCCTCCCTTCTGGGGCCGCTCCTGAAGTGTTCCTGGGACCGTGTTAGGCCGTCTTGGGGGCGTCTTAGGCTGTCTTGGGGGCGTCTTCGACCGTCTGGGCGCCCTCCTGGGAGACTGTGTGGGGTTTTTCAGGCCGCCGTGGAGCGTTATGAAGCCGGAAAGCCGAAAACAGAGAAGAACTGACAGAACTGAAAGAAATCAATGAGTTTGGACTCTTGGGGGTCTCTTGGGACACCTCTTGGAGGACAAATGGGCGTGACTTTCGAGCAAGAGAACAGCAAAGAAGAGGGAGGATGCCCATAGAGCGCGTGACGTTGATTCCCGTGTTGTCCGCTTGGGTCTGTGACGCTTTGTCGGGGCGTCACCAGCAATCGTGGGCCTCTCTCCGGGGTCTTGCGGCCGTCTTGGCGGCTTCTGGGGGGTTCCTGGATGCATCTTCGAAGCTTTTCGGGGCCTCTTGAAGGCCTCTTGGGGGCCTCTTGGGGGCCTCTTGGGGCCTCTTGGTGGTCTCTTCGGGCGGGGAGCCCGAAATGTCGGTCCCTGCCTCCACTCTGGGGGCTCTCTTGGAGCGTTCCTGGGGCTTTCTGATGCCGTATTGGAGGCCGCTGGGGCTGTCTTGCGTCTTGGACCGTCCGGGCGCTGTCTTGGGGGCCTCTTAGGCCGTCTTGGGGGGATCTTTGGGGTGTCTTGGATCGTCTTCGAGCGTCGGGAAGCCGAACAGGCGAGAACGCGAAAAGCCTTCAAAAACCTTAAAGAAAGCCCATTGATTTTGACTCTTCGGGCTCTCCCGGAGAGCCTCTTCGGGGCTCCTGGGCTGTCTAGACCGCTCAGTCGGCGGCACGTGGCCCTCTTGGACCATCTTGCGGATCATCTTGGGGCCGCCCGTGCCGCCCGAAAGCGCATGCGCCGAAATGGGGCCGTCTTCCGCCGGACTTCCGCCGGCGTTGGTCGCGTGGCCGGGGCCATGACCCGGGGGGTCCCCCCAGACCCCCCCAGGGGAACACTAAACGGGAACCCCTCCGCAAGGTCGGGGAAGAATGACGCAGAGAGACGAGGTCTGGAGCTCTGGTCGTGATGCTCTACGATGTCGCAGTGTGTTCGCGACGTCGGATCCCCAGGTTCGATGGGACACAGAAAGACGTACTAGTAGTCTGCGCCCCCCTTGGAGGCCCACGTCCGGACCGAACAAGCAGTACAGGCATAGGACAGCATGTCGTCATCCAGGTTTAACCAGCCTCGAACTTATCCCTATCCCTAAGATTGGCGAGCAAAAAGCGAGGACAATCTTAGGGATAGGCCCTCAGAAACTGAGGGAAACTTCAGATCGGCATCGAGGTGAGGTGATGTCAAACATAGGGATAGGGATATGTTTAAAACTGGTAAAGGTTGTATGGCCAGAGGGCGCCCGTCACCGAGCATGTGCTGCAAGATGTCTGAGCGCGCGGGGTCACCCCCGAGGGAGCCAACGCAAAAATGGTAAGTCTGTTTGGTGGGTGCCGAGTCGAGGGAGCAGTTCAGCGCTGCTTGCCTTTGCTCGGCTTCCTGGAGGCTCGCGTGGACACGGCTGCACGCGGCTCAAAGAGAGGATAAGGATGGTGTCCAGGAGAGGTCGGAGGATTGATTCTGAGCGAAAGCGGAGGGGAAGCGGGGGATGAAGGTATGTTGACGTCTATGGCATATTCTCAGCCACGTGCGACGATTGGAAGAAGAGAAAGGAAGGAAAGAGGGAACGGGAAGTGGAGGAGGAGGAGGAGGAGGAGGAGGAGGAGGGAGTAGGCGGTAAGAGGACGAGCCCCGAAGCAGCTCAAAAACTGCGATTTTGCGCGTGCTCCGCCAATGCCTTTAAGAGCTCCACCGAGCAGTCTTGCGAGTTTGCTAGGTCGCCCGTCTCCCTCCCCCTCCTCCCCCCGCCCACCCACCCACCACCAGCTCACCATCGCTCGGACGTCCATTCACCGTGCGTGTTGGGTCTCGTGCGTGTTTTTTTTTCTCCTGGCAGGATGATCCAAGATGCTCCTCGATGGCCCCCCCCGAGAAAGAATGCACACGTCCGAGCGATGCCAAGCCAGAGGGCCCGCGGAAGGCACCTTGGAGGGCGGGAGGGGCTCTGCGAGGCCCCGTGCCTTCGCGCGGAAGGCCGCCCCCCCACCCCCTCCTCGCGCCAGGCCCGCCAGGCCGACCTCTCGGAGGAGGAGGAGGAAGGGGAGGATGAAAACAAGGAGGAGGAGGAGCAGGAGGAGGAGGAGGAGGAGGAGGAGGAGGAGGAGGAGGAGGAGGAGGAGGAGGAGCGCGCGCCGTTGCCCAAGGCGCCCTGCCTCAGCCGAAGACGGCGCCCCAGTGGTGCAGCACGACGCTGCCCTCGCAGGGCGTACCCGGCCCCGCGTGCTCCTGCCGCGCCACGAGGTAGTCGTGCGGGGAGGCCTCCGCCCGGAAGACCGCGTCCAGCTCCGCCGCGGAGCGGAGCCGGCGGGTGCTCGGGCGCTCCCTCCTCGGGCGGGGGGGCATAGCGCTGGGGTACAGTCAACCAGTGCAGTAAGGACGCGCGATGAGGATGCAAGGGCCTCGGACGCCCATTTCGAAGCTCTTCGAGCGGGGCGCGGCAAGCGAGAGCGGCGGAGGATGGACCGAGGAGGCGAGGATGCAAGGGTACCCTTGGGAGAGTGCCCATCCTTACTATCATGGTTGACTGTACAGTGGGGGCCAGTCCACACAAGAAACCTTGAGAGAAGCCCAACCCTGAGACCCCAGGACGTCCATGGACTTTTGGTGTGGGCCCGTCACGCTTTTCTTGGCAAAACCATCGAACCCCAAGAAAACCAGGGCAGCCTGGAGGCAAGCAGGGTGTTTCTTGGCATGGGTCTCCACTGTAGGGGCAAAGGTGGGGTCGGAGCGAAAGTCGCTCCGGACGGCCCCTGGAAGAAGGAAGCGCGTGAACAGGGAGCATCTGGCTGGGCCCGTTCCCCAGCCCTGCCTTGGGCTATAACCCTGCCTCTGCGAGCCCCCCCGACTCTGGCGGCGCGCGCGGGGGTTGGAGAGCCCGGTGCGGTTCTGCCCGGGGCCTCCCGGCGGGCCTTTGTGAGGCCTCCGAGGAGCCTGCTTTGAAGGCGGGACGGTGGGCGGACTGCAGATGGCCACGCCCGTGGTGTGAAGACAGCGGTTTATATCACAAATACACAGGAATACGTCGTCGTCGTCGTCGTCGGTGTCGTCGTCGGTGTCGTCGTCGTCGTCGCCATGGGTCGCAGGCACTGGCCGTAAGGCCTTCGCAATACACAGAAACACTTTACGCACGCATGCGCATAATCCCCGAACAGTGCTTGCACTCAGGGGCTCAGGCTGCTTTTCTCAGGAACTGGGCCTGCCCATCGGTCTGGCAGCTATGTGGTCGCCGTCGCGGCCGCGCCCTCTGGGCCTGACCGTCGGTCTGGCTGCCATGTTTTCCAACTCATCCTGTGTTGAGTTCTCGTCCTGAACACTGTGGTCCCACCTCCTCCCTCATCCTGCCTCCTCCTCCTCCTCCTCCTGCGCTGCTCCCTGGGTGGCTTCGAACTGCGCAGCCGTCGCCAGTTTCGTGGACTCCTGCGAGGTCCAGCAGGAGTGGGGGGCCTCGCGCATCCAGCCGAGACCTCGCAACTCTCTGGGTGGCTGCGAACTGCGCAGCCGTCGCAACTCTCGTGGGCTCCTGCGAGGTCCAGCGGAGTCCGGGGTCACGGACATCCAGCCGAGACCTCGCTGCTCCCTGGAAGAGCTGCGAACTGCGCAGCTGTCGCCAGTTCCGTGAGCTCCTGCGAGGTCCAGCGGAGTCGGGGACCACGGACATCCGGACGAGGCCTCGCTGCTCCCTGGAACGGCTGCGAACTGCGCAGCTGCCGCCTTTTTCGTGGGCTCCTGCGAGGTCCAGCGGAGTCAGGGGCCACGGACATCCAGCCGAGACCTCGCTGCTCCCTGGAACGGCTGCGAACTGCGCAGCTGCCGCCTTTTTCGTGGGCTCCTGCGAGGTCCAGCGGAGTCGGGGACCACGGACATCCAGCCGAGGCCTCGCTGCTCCCTGGAACAGCTGCGAACTGCGCAGCTGCCGCCTTTTTCATGGGCTCCTGCGAGGTCCAGCGGAGTCGGGGACCACGGACATCCAGCCGAAACCTCGCTGCTCCCTGATGGCTGCGAACTGCGCAGCTGCCGCCTTTTTCATGGGCTCCTGCGAGGTCCAGCGGAGTCGGGGACCACGGACATCCAGCCGAAACCTCGCTGCTCCCTGATGGCTGCGAACTGCGCAGCTGCCGCCTTTTTCATGGGCCCTCCTCTGCCCCCTCGAAGGCGAGGCCCTCCCTGCAGCGACCCGCCCGCGGATTGCGCGCGGTCGGCTCCTGTCGTGGGAGGCCACCTGGCTGGTGGTGTCCTCGTCGAGGTGGTGCAGCAACTCCAGCCCGCCGGCCACGGAGAGCAGGTTCCACAGCTCGGGCGCGAACCCGCGGGGCTCGCCAGGATCGCCGCCAGCCGCCCCGCCAGCGCCCTCCAGACCGCTCTCCGCGGCGTCAGCGGCCGCAGCACTGTCGAGGTAGCCGCGCTGGGCCTCAGCCGCGAGCGGCCAACAGATGCACGTCTACGCCCTCGCGGTCGATTTCGGGGCGCCATCCCGTGGATGCGCGGTCACACGGATGCGTCTCGCGCAGGGCATCCGAGGACAAACAAAAACGCCTGGTATCCATGGGGTCGTGGCCCAGGGGCCCAGCCCGCCAGGATGCGGATACGGATACCTTTCCCGCCCACGTCCTTAGTCACGTGCACCAGCGCGCTGCACACTTGCCGCTTGGCGAGCAGCGCTCGCGCGCCGCGCAGGACGTTCAGCTCCTCGCCGTTGACCGACAACTTCAGCATGTCCAGGCGCCCGGCACGCAGTGCAGGCCAGGAGGAGTCCAGCGTCACGGTGGCGATCTCCGAGAAGCCAGTGCACGACTCACCGCAGTGCGCGTCGGCCGCGGCGCGCACGGTAGTGCCCTCGCCGTTGTGACCTGGGAAATACGCGAGTGTCACCTTCTCGCCGTCGCTCGCACCGAGCGCGCGCGGCACGACCACCACCCGACCGTCCCAGCTGTTGGCGAGCACGCTGTCTCGGAACAGCGCGGATGCGTCCGGGAGCGGCTCGTACCCCGCTGCGAAGAAAGTTGTTCCAGCCGACTCGAGCGCAGCTGCGGCCCACAGAGTGCAGTCGCCCACGTGCGGCCCGCCCTCAACGAAGGTGAGCACGCCGGGCGCGGTGCTCGCGGAGGCCGCGATGCGCTCAATCAGGAGCAGGAAGGGCCGCATGCCGCAGAAGGGAGTGCGCACGAACCGGATCATGTTGGACACGATCTCCCTGCGCGGGAAGATGCGCATCTGGAAGCTGCCTGGGGACGCCAGCGCGCCCTGGGGCTCCTTGCGCAGCATGCCCCTGATCGTGTCGGCCACCTTCAGCTCGATGGTCGGCTGCTGGAAGAGGCGATCCACTGCGTCCACGAGCGGCCACTTCGAGCGCAGCATCGCCACGAAGGCGCCCTGGGCTCCGCCGCCGACGGCGGAGGCCAGCGCCCCGCTGGCGAGCCCCAGAAACTCCCGGCTCTCCTGGACGCGCCCGGCGACGGCCGACGCGTCCGCCAGGGCGGCGAAGCCCAGCGCGCGGGGCAGGCAGCAGCCCCGGTGCCCCGCGGAGCCCGCCGCCCCGCCGGCCTGCGCGGCGCCCGGCGGCGGGCAGCTCCCGCCCTCGAGGGCGGCCAGGAAGGCCGCGGCGGCCGGCAGCGGCACCGCCGCCCCGCCCTGGATCATCTCCGCGGCCTGCCGCAGGAAGGCGCCCTCCGCGCCGCCGTCCACGGCGCACGCCTCGTCGGCCTCCCCGCCCGCCGGCGGCGCGCTCCGCAGGCGGCGCCGCAGGTGCGAGGCCATGAGGAACACGTTCCACCCAGAGTCTACCCACCGCTCCAGCAGGGCGGGCCCCGCGGCCGCCACCAGCAGCGTCACGAGCTCGTCCGCCCACAGCAGGGCCGGCGAGCTGGCCGGCGCCACGCCCTGGTTGGCCTTCGAGGCCGCGTCGGCCACCGCGAAGAGCAGGGCCCCCACGGGGCACGCCGACAGCGTGGCCTGGCCCAGGTGCAGGAACTGGGCGTAGAGCGGCCCGAGGTCCCAGCCGAGCATCGCGGCCCGGCGCGCCCCGCACCAGTCCCACGCGCCGCCCGCCCCTGAGGAGGCGGCCTGCCCTGCGGCGCAGCCGCACGCCCAGCTGCCCCCTCCTGGCGTGGGCGTGTGGGCGGCGAGGTCTGAATGCCCGTTCGGGGGGGACAGTCCTGGTGCCTGGAACCCCTCGCTCCACGCATGCGTCGATGCTGCGTCGAGCGTCCTTCGGCACGAGTCGCCTTTGTGTCGAGCTGAGGTCGAGCTAGAGGCAAACTGGAGGCGAACGGATCCGCTGGGTGGGTCCCAGGAAGGTCCCCAGCGCGAATGTATAAGGAGGTGGTCCTGGCCCATGGGGTGCCCCCTCAGCCGCCTCGGAGGTCCTGGAACAATTGCAACATCTTAAACATGCACGCCTGAAGCCCTAGACCCCATCTTTGCATCATTTCCGGGCCAGATGGATCTGTGAGGGCCCCAGAGCCTGAAAAAAGGTAAAAACTCCCGGCTCGATACAATTGAGTCGCCAAGATCTTAGGGGTCCCTGGTCGTGGACCCAGCGGGTCCCAGACGTGGTGCAGAGGAGGCTCGGGACGCCATCGGGGTCCATGGGGCACTTCCGCCCGCTCCCGGCCTGCCAGGGCGGCGTCCACGTCGGCGCGGGCGAGCACTGGGTGCGCGAGGCAGCAGCGCTCGTAGGTGTAGGCCCCCTGCCAGCAGTCCTGCGCCGCGGACCTCGGCGACGAGCGGGGGCCCAAAAAACGGAGCCCCTTCGTCTTCGACCTCGCGTTCGCCAGCCACCTCCCTCCCCCCCTTCCCCCCAGACTCAAAGTTGGCGCCCAGCCTGCTGGGGGCCCCGGGGGGTCCACTTTTGTTCGTCCTGTCGAACCTGTGCCCCCGAATGCCCAGGGTCAACTTTGAACATAGAGGAGGGCAAGAGGAGAGCTCGAAGGCAGCCGGGCGGGGGGGCCTTCCGCTCAGTCCCGGGGGGGCTTCTCGGGGGGCAGCGGCACCCAGAAGGCCACGCGCCCGTGGCCCTCCCGGGAGCGGCAGGCCCTCGCTTGGATGGACTGCCCCCCTCTCCCCACAGCGGGCGTCGCGGAGAAGAGCACCATGCCGTGACACGTCCCGGCCAGAAGAGCTCTCGACTCACGACCCTCGATCATGTCCATACCCATCCTCCTCCTCCTCCTCCTCCTCCTCCTCCTCCTCCTCCTCCTCCTCCTGGCCTCCGAGTCGCGACCCGAGGTGCGCGATCCTACGGATACGCGCCGCGTGGGGCATCCGCGCAAGGCCGGTCTGTTTTCACAGGGCTCGAGTGGGGGGTCGACCGCAGAATTGCAGAGGCTTGCAACGAGTACAACGCAGACTTGTGGATTGGAATGATCGGCGTCGAGAATGCGCTCGACACAGTTGAATTCGATACACTTTAGGCAGCCCTGACAGACCAGGGAGTCAGTGGGACATTCATCGATCTGTTGCAGCACCTCTACGCAAGGCAGACCGCCACTGCAATTGCTGGCGATGGAAGTAGATCCTTCGATATCTCGCTGGGCGTGAAACAGGGGGGCCCGATAAGTCCCTTTCTGCTTGTCGTGGTCATGGAAGCTGGATTCCAAAAGTTGTACGCGCGCTGGAACAAGCTAAAAAGCAAGCGCACTTGAATGCCTTCTGGGTTGGTGGTGGGTGGCATTCGGACATCCTCCGACGAAGGTGCGCTTAGCCGATGACGTGCTCATTCTACCTGGATTCGAAAGAGACGTTTCCAGAATGATTGCAGATTTGGAGTCGGAGGCCAAGACGTACGGCCTGAAGGTCCACATGAGCAAGACAGTGAGTGCGTTTGGCTAACGCATCTGATCGGCCGCCACATGCAAAGTGCAGTGCGCACAGTGTGAGGGTATTCCAGAGCGGCGAGTCAGCTCAGCATCTGGGCGAAAAGACTTCTTTGTACGACCACGGAGCAGAATTTGGAAACGGGCTCGCCTCCGGTTGGGCTGCGTTCCACGCCTTGAAGGGTTTCTTTTGCAACAATCGCCTACAGATCAATCAGCGCCTGAGAATGTTCAAAGCATGCGGGGGGCCTTACATTCTCTATGAATCAAGTAACCAAGAAGGGTTTTTAGACCCCCCCCCTTTAACAGAGGGTAACGAATTATTGTTCGGCGGCCGTATTGAAGACTGGGATCCGACCAGTTGGGGGCAACTAATCATTTGTTCCGCGGCACCCGCCGCGCAACAACGATGACGACAGCTACGACTACGATTGCGACTACGATTACAACGACTTCTGTTACGACTTATGCCTCAGAAGCGCTCTCACGGAAAATCCTAGCTCAGAAACTCGATCCCCAGAATGTCTATCCTCTGAAGGAGGAGGAGGAGGATAATGAAGAGGTTTTAGGACCAGTCTTATCCACCGCCGAGAGAAAAGGGGGATACCAAAACTAAAGACCAATTCGGTCCACCCAGCGTCAGATGCTGAGACAGACGGTGAGCAATCGACGGCTACCTGCCGAAGATTGGGTTTAGCACAGACCGCAGATGGAGCGCGAGACTTGTTTAAGTGGGTGCCTCCTTGCTTTCGAGCGAGCGCAAGAAGCGAAGGCTGCCCACGGAAGGAGGTGGACAGGCGTGTATAGTCGGACCCAGGCCAGAGGAACATCCCTCAAGAACATGGGCCAAAACTCTCTCTCACACACACACACGGAACACCGAAGGGTAGCCTCCCCTGGACGCACAAGGACATCCAGCGAGCACGAAGAACGCGAGGGGTGCCTTCCCCGAACCGAGCTCGATCTTGCACCTCGGCCCGGCTGCAATTGCTTTCACTCGCTCTCGCGTTCCCCTGCCGCCTCTGCCGTGCCGCCGCCGGCCCCCCGCCCGCCGCCCGTCCGTCCGCCCGTCCGTCCGCTCCCCAGCTCTGCTGCCTCTCTCGCTCCTCTCGCTCGCTCTGCTGCCTCCTCCGCGCGGCCCTCTCCTCGGTCTGCCCTGCTGCCTCTACAGAGGCCTCCTAGGTGGGGGCCGAGTAGATGGAAGCCATCTGGGAGGCCCGGACTCTCCCTCCCGTCCTGAGGCAGGCGCGTTCCACTGCTCGCAAGGCAGCTCCTCGCAGCAGGCCTGGATGCATTGCATCGAGTCAAAGAGGCTCCGTTGCATCGAGGCACACAGTGTCGTTGGTTGTGGACTTTTGCGGGCAGGCACTCAGCGAGTAGTGGAGCGCGCTCGGTGCGTCCTCGTTTCGTTCGTTCGTTTCGGCCGTTCGTCGGCCCCCCCGCGTCCTTCCTGCCGTTGCTGCTGCTGGCCACGCTCGCAGCTGGGCGTTTGACGCTCGATGGCTGCCGCACCGCGCCACGGCAGATGCACAATCTCGCACTGCTGTCTCGCAGTTTGGCGCTTCGCTGGTAATGTCGGCCCGGCGCGCTGCCAGGGCGGACTACCCGCCTCCCGCGGGCCCAGCTGCTCTGCTCTGCTCTGCTCACAGCTGACCCCCCGTCGAATCCCAAGGAAGTACATACGGTAGAGGGAAACAATTACTGAACACTCCCCCTCCCCCCAACTCAATATTGGCACGCGCGGAAAACACTGCGGTCGAAGTGCATCTCATCAGACCCACCGCCAACTTTGAACATTGGGGGGAGGGGGGAGGCGTTGACAGATGAACTTGGCATGATTGTTCGCCAATTTGTTCCGAGGCCTGTAGCTTCGACGAAAATAGCAAGCTTGGGGTCAATCGATGAGTCGATTCCCCCCCTCGAAGAGTTACGCGGTCCCACGGACACGCCCCGCGTTGGGCATCCGCGCAGGGCCGCCCAGCACCCGCGGGGCCACGGCCGAGGAGCCCGGACACCGCGAGGCCGCGGCCGCAAGCGCACGCCCCAACCGCGATCTCGTGGCACGGCTTCCCCGTGGCACTCCTCGAGCGGAGGAGGAGGAGGAGGAGGAGGAGGAGGAGGAGGAGGAGGAGGAGGAGGAGGAGGAGGAGGAGGAGGAGGGGGAGAGGGAGGAGGGGGAGGAGGGGGAGGAGGAGGAGTACGGGGAAGATGAGGAAAAGGGGGCACCTCGGGGGAGGGCCCTGGAGCCGAGAAGTGCACCCATCCTGGACCCCCCGGCATCATGATGCGGCCCCCGGACACGAGAGGTGACTCGAGCTGGCACGTCGGACTCTTCGGCGTGGACCCCAGGAGGTCTGGACCCGGGCGACTTGACTCCAGACCTCTGACGTCATGGATTGTTCCCGACGTGGACATCCGAGTTCTTCTGCTTTCTCCCCAGGATCCAGGACCCCCTGCTCATCCTGAGCTGTTTTGTGACGGTCAACGGGCCTGGTGAGGGTCCCTGGGGCCCGAACAAGGCAAAGCAGCCTTCTGTCGCGATTTGTTCATGGTCCGAGCCCTGAGAGATCCTACGCTGCGAACAAAAAACAACGGCGTGAAACATCACGACAAAAACCATGACACACTCCTTCTGCTCCGTTCTTCGACCCGGATCAATATGTGAGGATCCAGGTGCCCGATGGGGAAAACGCCTGGCTTGAAACAGTTGCGACGCCAGGATCTCTCTGGACGCCCGAAATGGGCACGGATGAGCACGGTGCCCAACAACAGATGCTGTCCCAAACCGACAGCGGCCGCTGTTGGGCAGGCGGCCTCCTGTCTCAAATGGACAAGGCCCGCGGCGGCACCGACGGCAAATCCGGCTACCCATTTCGATCGCACCGAACCTCAAAAGGAGACGCCCGCAATGATTTTGAGCGCAGCGCCCGTGCAGCCGCCGGGATTTGCCGTGGCCGCCGGGCCGCTGGAGGCAGCAGCGCTGGAAGGTGAAGTCGCCCGTCCAGCAGGCGGAGGCGGCAGGCCTCCGAGGGGAGGGCCGGAGGCAGGAGTTTGGGCTGTCCGCCTCCTCCTCCTCCTCTTCCTCCTCCTCGTCCTCCTCCTCCTCCTCCTGGTCCTTCTCCTCCTCCTCCTCCTCCTCCTCCTCCTCCTGTTCCTGTTCCTCCTCCTCCTCCTGTTCCTCCTCCCCCTCCTCCCCCTCCTCCTCCTCCTCCTCCTCCTCCTCCTCCTCCTCCTCCTCCTCCTCCTCTTCCTCCTCCTCCTCCTCCTCCTCCTCCTCCTACCCCTCCACTTACTAAATGCCTGCTTTATGTAGCTAGAACTCTGCAGGAGTGGCCCCCCATAGGCCCATGAGTAAGGCAAAGAAGGCCTAGTCTGTGTCGCCCCCAGCAGGTGTCGCAGAAAAGCACGACCAGAGCCCCAGAACCCATCACTCCCGGCGCCCGAAACGAGGCCAAAACGCCCGTTGCGACAAACGCAGACGTCCCCGACGTCGTGATTTCTCATGACGTGCCTATCAGAAGTCTGGACCCCTTCCCCGGGACCGCCTTTGCACCCCAAGTCCTTCCTGGACGGCCCCGAGGCCCGGGCAGAGCCCCAGAGGGCCGAAAAGCACGACAAGCCTCCCGCCACAACTCTTCTTCCTTGCTCGAGGGAGGTCTGGGAAGTCACGCCGCCAGGATCTGCGGGCCCCCCTCCCCAAGCTTGAACAGGGACCGACCTCCTATAGTCCTGACACGAACTGTTCGTAGAACCCAAAAAGGTTCTAAGAACAAGAACAAGGTTCTTAGAACATGAACCCGATGCGTTAAATCAAGACAGTCCCAAACCGACAGCGGCCGCTGTTGGGCGGGCGACCTCCTGCCTCGAATGGACACAGGCCGCGGCGGCGTGGACAGCGAGTCCTGTTCAGAATGAACAAAAGCTGCTGTTGGGCATCGTACCCATTCTTTCAGTACCCATTTCGGGCGTGCAGACTTGACAAGACACGGCCATGCCGGGCGGTGGGCCTCGCCGCCGCCGGCTGCTCCACGCCGCGCGCGCCCGCCCAGCCCGCGGCCAGCAGCGCGGGCAGCCGGGCGGCCCCGCCGGCCATGGCGACCCCGCCGCGCGCGCCGCGAGGACGGCCCCCGCGCAGGGGGCGGCCGGGCCCGCCCTCCGGGCGCGCCCTGAAGAGCTCTGGGGCGCTCGGGGACGCACGGCCCTCGGGAGCCTGGCGGCGCAACTGTTTTCGCCTTGGGCCTCTCCTGAGGTGCGTTCTGCCTGGAACCTCTCGGGCAAATCCGGCCGTGGCGACGAGGGCATCCCTGGAGGCTCCGAGAGGCGACACCGAGGCAAGGGCATCGGCGGTGGACAAACCTCCCTTCAGTAGGTCTCCCCTGAGTGAGAACGGCCTGGGGCCGAGACCGACGGACCTGGACCCGCAAAAACGACGGCCGCGACGCCCTCTCGCGAAGTGGAAACGGCCAATTCCTGAATCGACGTGTCAGGGAAGGAGCTCTGTTCACCCCCGATTGTTGAGGCCCTGGGGCCCCCACAGATCGATCCGGCCCGAGAGATGGGGCTCTGGGCGTGCATGTCTGCGATGCTGCAGTTTCGTCGCTACGTCGGATCATCCCAGGGGACCCAGGTCGACGCACACACCCAGGGCCGGTCGGGCCCTGCAGGATCCTGCAGGATCCCGCAGGGGTCCTGCAGGATCCTGCGCGCCGGCCCAGGTCCCCAGACCCCCGACGTCATGATTTTTTCATGACGCGACCCCCGGACCCATTCCCCGGGACCGGCTTTTCATCCTGAGTCGTTTCTTGACAGTCCTGAGGGCCGGTAAGGGTCCCCAGAGGCCGAAAATAGCGAAACAAATCGCGTCGTGATTTTTTCATGACTCGAGGGGGTCTGGGTCCGTGCAGCCCTGGCTTTGCAAGCTTCTGCAGGATCCAACGCTCTGGCCGACCACCCATCTGCGTGGGCCCCCGTCTCAAGACTCCCGAGGCTGTGCATGTGCTGTCGCACCAGGCGTTGTCGTCTGGCTTCGAGGCCCACGGGCCATCAGAGATCGACTGGCGTGAGGCGCCTTTGCTCTGGAAGGCGGAGATCAAGACAACAAATACTTGAATGCATGTTCAATGGTGCGTTTTCCGTAGTCCAGACCCCAGCACACTTTCGCACGTTACAACAGTACCTGCGGCGGCGCGCTTGAATTCGCGAAATGCCCAAGTCGGACATGACACCGCGCGCATGTCCCCTCAAAGCTACGCTCCAAATTCCCCGAACTGTCAAAGTTGACCTTGAATCAAGACATCGACGGAGGTCGTCGCGAGAGGCTTTGGAGAAGAACAGCTTCGAAGAGAAGGAGAAGGAGGCGGAGGAGGACAACAGGAGATAACACGAGGAGAGAAAGAAACGGAGGGCGCAGGAGCAGCTGAGGGCGGGAAGGACTGCGGCAACAGTGAGGGGAATACGGAGGACGGAAAGACGGGGAAGGAGCAAGAGGGGGACGCGGATGGAGGACGGAGGACTGGCAACGAGAACTAGAGGAAGAGGTGGTGGAAGCGATGGACGGGAAAGGAAGGGCACGGGGCCGCCGACCTCGCATTTCCTTATGCAGCTTGTCTGCAAGGGTTCAATATCTTATTTGTAAAGCCGTCGGGTGCGCTGCCCGATGCCGACTCCGCGGCCCTTGGCCTTGTTATCGAGTCGTGGCCCGTGGTCTCTGGTCGCGGTTGTTAATCTTAGCGGTCCCTGGTCGCGATCTCTGGTCGTGGTCTGCGGTCTCTGGTCGTAGTCGTTGGTCGCACACTTTGGTCTTGGCATCCAGTCGCTGGTCTCTGGTCGTGGTCCTTGGACAAAAAAAACGTTGGTCGCGGACTCTGGCCACGGAGTCCGATCGCGTTTTCTAGTCTCTGGTCTCTGGGGGCGGTGCCTGGTCCGAGACCACGACCCAGAGACCGAGACCAGGCACCGCCACCACGACCAGAGACCCAGAGACCGAGACCCGACACCGCGACCAAAGACCGGCCGCCACGACCAGAGAGAACGCGAGAAGATACTGCGACCAGAGGCCAGAGACCCCGACCAGACACCGCCTCCCCTCCAAAGCCAGGGGGGGCCTCCCGGCCGAGCAGGGCGGGCGGCCCCCCCTGACTTTGGAGGGGGGCTGGCTGTCCTGCTCGGCCAGATCGAGGAGCCGGATCGGGTCGACCGGAGCACCAAATCGGCAGAAATCGGTAGAAGTCGGCAGTGTCTCCGCCGCGCCCTCCCTGCCAGGGAGGGCGGCGTAGACACCGGCGGTCCGGAGCTCCTGCCGCGCGCCCCCGGATCGGTGCAGCCGGCGCCCTCAGCAGCAGCGGCCCCGCCGAGCCCAAACGGCTGCGGAGGGGTTGGGTCCTTGGCAGAGCTCTGGCCGGCGCCGCCTGCTCTCTGCCTCCTCTCCTCCTCCTCCTCCTCCTCCTCCTCCTCCTCCTCCTCCTCCTCCTCGAGGCTGCTTTCCCCAGTAGTTCCAGGCCCGCTCTCTCCTCCTCCTCCTCCTCCTCCTCCTCCTCCTCCTCCTCTTCCTCCTCCTCCTCCTCCTCCTCCTCCTCCTCCTCCTCCTCCTCCTCCTCCTCCTCCTCCTCCTCCTCCTCCTCCTCCTCCTCCTCCTCCTCCTCTGGTGGTGGTGCCGCTTCTCCTCCCCACCGCACGAGCAAAGAAGGCAGCCAGGGCGGCGGAGGAAAGAACACCCCCGAAAGCCACACCGCCCTCACGGCTCCTCTTGTGGAACGTCTTCCACACCTTGCGCATGTCGTCCTCCGTGGACTGCATGGAAAACCTCTTGGCTTCGCGCACCTTGAACAGCCGAAACCCGAGCTCTGCGTCCGGGATCACAGGACGCTTCCTGCGGACGGGACAGGGGAGACAGGCTCGGGCTGCGACGCTTGGCGAGGCAGGGAAGGACAGCGCGGCATCATCTGCAACATCGCAGTGAGACGTCTCCCCACGGGCGAGACGCCGTGACAAATTGCAGCGTCGCGACCATCGGGTGCCGAAGGCTTCATCCGACACCGCGCCTTCGGTGCGCTGGGGCGTTGCAGGGCTTGTTGGCTGTCCAATGAAAACATCGGCGCCGCTTCCAAAGCCGACGCCCCGCCTCCCCACTGCCGCTTTCCCCCCCATCGGTTATGCTCCTCAGCCTCTTGTTCGGCTTGGCTTCCAGACTTCCAGACTCCAGACGGCTCCAAGACAGCCAGAGATCGCCCAACAACCTTCGCCATACAAGCCAGAAGCATTCAAAAACACAGCCCAACGGGCCTCTAAATGCTCCAAAATGCCTCAAGAAGCAGGTAAGAGGCAGGTAGGAAAGAGGGGGAGGAGGAGGAGGAGGAGGAGGAGGAGGAGGAGGAGGAGGAGGAGGAGGACGAGGAGGAGGAGGACGAGGAGGAGGAGAAGAGGGGAAAGATGTTTCCGTAAAGCCCTCCACCCCAGAGAGACAGGGACGAGGCAGCACTGGGGGCCCCCCGACGCGCCGACCAAAAGAAAGCTGGGCCGCCTCGGGGGCGGGGCCTCCAGCGCCCACGCGCCCCCGCAGCTGCTCTCAGCCGAGCGCCGCGCCGCCGCGGGCTGCTTATTCGGCCGCCGGGTGGGCGCGCGTTGAGGACGCGCCCGACAGCCTCGACTGTACTATTGGGCGTGTGTTTTTTGTGTTTTTTCGTGTGCGTTTTGTGTGTTCTTTGGCCCCGGCCGCGTGGCGCAAGGCGCCCACGCGCTCCCGCACGGCGTCGCGGCACCGCACGGCGGCGCCAGCGCAGCGCGCCCGCGCCGAGCGCCGCCGCGCAGCGCCCTGCGCCGCACGCCTGCACGGGCCTCGCCGCGCCCGGGGGGGCGGCGAGCGGCAGAGGGGGCTTGGGGACCCCGAGCCAGGGGGGGGGGACCCCATGATGTGCGTGTAAATAATCAGAAATACTCCGGGGACGATTTGTTGACCAGTTTGGAACACGTTTGGAATAGTGCGGGGGTGCTCTTAGAATCTGTCGCCCTAAATCCCCCCCGGTAGGGGGGCAAGCCCGACCTACACGTAATGCCATGCCATGCTGTCACATCCGATTGTGCGAACAGACAGGAGATTTGCGCCATTGACCAGGGTGGGAAAGAGGGGCAGGGCGACGGATATGACGCGAGCGCACCTGGCTTGCCCTCCGCCCCTTCCCGCGGTTCCCTGCTGCTGGGGGGCCCCGAGGTGGCACGGTGGCAGAGCGTGTGGCGACCTCGAGATCTCACGAGGCCTCACCACACGGTGTGCTGGGACCCTGGACTGAGCAGGGACCGAACGTCCTGGCATTCCTATAGGCCTACCACGACATGTTCTCAGAACCCAAACATGTTCTAAGAACAAAAACAATGTCCATAGAGCATAAGACCGAAGAGCTAAAACAGGACAGTCCCAGCCAGAAATGTTCAAATAACATTTCGCGCAGACCACAAAAGGTTCTTAGAACATTCTTTGGTAGGCCTGTAGACACGCCAGGACGCTTCGCCACTGCTCGACTGGAGGCGCCAAACGCCCGAGGCATCCTCGGAGAACGACCCACATCCCCAAAGCCGTGCGGTCACCCCGCCTCCCCCACCGACTCCCACCGCACGGTGTGGTCACCGCAGCGTTTGGGGGCCCCCGAGGCTGGGGCCCGAGGTATCCCAAGCTTAAGTCGGGCGTGTCCTCCTACAAGCGGATTTTGGACGAATGCCTAAATATCACCCCCAAAAAAAACATCAAAAATACAAAAAAATCAAATCATCGTCCCCAGACTATTTTCAAACTATTTTCCGATATTCCTCCTGTAGAGGGGCAGGCCCGACTCAATCCCACGCCCGCGCCCCGCGCTGCGCGACGCGCGGGCCGCAATCGTCTCCCTCGTTCTCTCGCGCCGGCCAGCCCCCTGGAGAAGAAACGGCTCCCCGGCACGGGCCAGAGGAGCGCCCAGCGTACTCCAGATTTCGCAATCAAAGGGAGGGGGGTCTCATTTCGGGGGGGGTCCTCTTCCAGGCTATCTTGGAGGGCCTGGGGGGTCTGGGGACGATGTTTTGGAGGGTTCTCCCACGGGGGAGGTCTGAAATGGCTTGTCTTGGAGGGTCCAGACCCCCTCCCTTTTATTTAAAGATCTGGAGTGGCCATCTCTGCGCCGCCGAGCTGCTGGCCAACCCGGGTCCGCCCCCTCGACCTCCCCATTGAGCTCCGGTCGTCGCGTTTTTTGTTCCAGAGCGGGCGCTTTCGCCCAACTCCGGCCCAGGCCCCCCACGCTGGCACGCCCGCAGTGTGTGCGGCAACGCCGGGCACAGCCCCAAAAAGCAGATGCGTGTTAAAAAAACGAGGGCGGACGCTGTTGGGCGCGCGGCGACTTCCTGCCCAAAACGGCCAACGGTCCAGGCGACACCGACAGCGAGCCCGGCAAACATGGCCAGATATGCTGTCGGTCTTCGTCTCCAGTCTTTCCGCATAGGCAAGTCGCATAAGAAGGATGCGAGGGCCTTAGAGGGCCATGTTGGCGTTTTCGAACGGGGTTGGCCAGCGAAGGTCGCGAAGGATGGGTCGAATGGGCGAGGATGCAAGGGAAACCCTGGAAAATTGATCATCCTTGCTATGCGACTTGCTCTTGTCCACTTCGATCGTGCCGGCCACGGATCGATCCAGCTCGACAAGATCCCGCAGCAAAATGGGGACCCAGACATGCGACGTCCTCATTTGTTCAAGACGGCGTCCCCAGAAGTCCAGACCCTTTCCCCGAGGCCGGCTTTTCATCCCGAGTCGGATTTTGACGGCCCCGAGGCCCAGCGGGGCACCCCGAGGCCGAAAACGGCCCATATACCCTCCCTTCCTGATTTTAGTTACGACGCGATCATGTCTGGGCTTCTCTCTGCTCGGTCCCAGCGGCGCCTCTTCGGGCCCCAAGCCAAGGGGTCGGTCAGACCGCCCCCCCCCCCCCGAGGAGGAGGAGGAGGAGGAGGACGACGAGGAGGAGGAGGAGGAGGACGCCGTCCCTCGGTTTGGCCCCCGGGGCCCGTCACCGGGACCCAGGGCTATCGGAAGTGGATACGGGGCGAAGCACCCACCCCCGTGGAGGCAGGCTGGACCCTCCTCCCTCCTCCCTCCTCCCTCCTCCCTCCTCCCTCCTCCCTCCTCCCTCCCCCCCCTCCCCCTCCCCCCTCCCCCCTCCCCCCTCCTCCCTCCTCCCGCAGGACACGGGGAGCAGAAGCACCGTGGGGAGGATGTGGGCCAGAGCGGTGCGGGAGCAATAATAAGGGTATCACCGCTGCGCCGCCGTGGGATGCCCCGTGTGCGTGTTTTACCGCCGAAGAAGCACCCGGCGCTCGAGCGGAAGCGAGGGAGTACCACGCTGTAACGGTCTCCCGACGGCAGCGTGAGAGTGGTACTGTTTTCCTCTTGTCTATCTCTCCCTCTCTCCTCCTCCTCCTCCTCCTCCTCCTCCTCCTCCTCCTCCTCCTCCTCCTCCTCCTCCTCCTCCTCCTCCTCCTCCTCCTCCTCCTCCTCCTCCTCCTCCCCTCCAACTTATGGTGGTGGCGGTGGGACACAAGCCTATCATGTGTGATTGGTACGTTCTCTCTCTCTCTCTCTGTCTTGCTCTCTCTCTCTCTCTCTCCCTCCCTCCCGAAGCGAGCGAGCCCTGGACGCATCAGGGATGCTGCAGCGCCCCCTCCCGTCCAGAGTCCCCTTCCCGCAAAAGTCCCTGCTGCGAGTCCGCCTCACAGCGGGAAGCGCCCAGTCGAGGGACGGGCGCCCCTGTGCCTGGCCTTCGGACGAAAGCCTTGCTTTGAAAATGGTAAGGCCTCCACTGCTGCAGTTGTTAAAGAGGCGAGAACGCGCCGTCTTAGAAACGAAAGGCCGATGACACGTCAGACAGGAGACTCGCCTTGATGATGACCCATCACAGTTCATCGTACGATCAGGACCGTTGGACAAGTGCCAAGGGAAACAAGACAGCTAATAGGAACCACCCTCCATCCGTGCAACCACTGCAAGATTGTAAAGCGAGTGTGCGCGGCACCATGGCGAGAGTCGAACCTTGAGGAAACGATCCGCGTTGCTGCAAGCTCTCGACAAGAGAAGCGCGACACCAAGGCGAAAGTCCAATCTTGAAAACGGCCCTCCCACCACGTGTGCAGCTGCTGGTAAGACCAGCGGTTCAGGAGCCTGACGCGACAGAGCTGCGAAACGACTGGCTCACCATATATCATATGTCCCGACACATCTGGTGGTGCGACGAGGAGGGGCGAATCGCCATAGAGAGGGCCGAGGAAGGCAGAGAACGAGGCGGAGCAGGATGAGGACGACGAGAATGGGGAGGTGGATGATGAAGGGGAGGATGGAGGATGGAGGGGTGGTGATGTATGCCGAGGAGAGAAAGATGAGGCGGGAGGGGGAGGAGAACTGCCAGGAAAACGTGGATTGGGATGAAGGGAAGAGGAGCGCAGGCGAGGCAGCTTGGCGAAGGTGATCGGGAACACATCCGATCGAAGCCAACAGATGACAAAGCTGAACCTCTCTTGTCTACAGGAGAAGGATGGAAGGAACAGAAAGAAGGAGGAGACGGGCAAGGAAGAGCGGCGGCAGCGGGATGGCGAGAAGGAGGAGGAGGAGTAGGAGGAGGAGGACAGGGAGTAGGAGTAGGAGGAGGAGAGGATGAGAAGGGAGAGGAGAAGGATAACGACGACGGTGGCGGCTGCGACGGTGTTGGCAACGACGACGGCAACCATGACGACTAGGGCCACGCGTGGCGCAGACCTGCGACGTCGATTTGATTTCACAACGTGGAGCATCAGAGGTCGCGACCCTTCTCCGCGACCATCGATTCATCCTGTCACGGCAAGTCCCCCAGAAACCGAAAACGGCGACACGCGTTCAGCCGTGTCTTCTCGTCTTCCGTGGCGCAAGGGCTCCCGCGCGTGAGCGGCTCCTCAAGCTCCTCTTCGACAACGACGACGACGACGATGACGACGACGACGAAGATGACGACGACGACGACGACGACGACGACGACGACCACGTCGACGACGACGACGACGACGACGACCACGTCGACGACGACGACGACGACGACGACGACGGCGACGACGACGGCGGCGGCGGCGGCGGCGATGGCGCAACATATTGAACCCTGGATCTACGTCCTCGCCAGACTCTCGAGGCGTATCCGGCCGTAGCCACGAGAAGCCCCCAGGAGGCTCAGAACAGGGAGAGAGAAAAACGGCCGCGGACCTCGACCACTTCGGTCCTCGAGCCTCGATCCCTCTGCGAAGCCCCGCGCGGGTGAAAGAATAGACAAGCGCGCTCCACGACTCGCAAAGTAACTACTCGCAAATGGCCTGGATCCGCCATGAGGGATTCACGATACATTGCATCGAGGCGGCCATGTGCTTTTTTGCGGACCTTTGCGAGTAGGCACTTTGCGAGCGAGTACTGGAACGCGCTCGGTGCTCGAAGCAGAAAGCTCGAGAGAGGCATGAACTTTCGGAGGCTCGCGCGCGGAATTTGCAGATCGGCGCTCCCCAACCTCCCCACCGTACAGTCGAAATGCTGACATAAGGAACCATAAATAAGGAACGAGTACCCTTAGAAAACCGAAGAACAACCTGAGACAAACCGTAAAACACATAAGGAAACACTGATCCCCTCCCCAACGAAAAGGGCTCCTTCTTCAACGGCCCGACTGTTGACGCCCTGTGGACGGGACGGGGTGGGTCTCGAAGGGCACCAGGAGCCCTCCACAAACCAGAGAGGGGCACCGGAGGTGCCCGCTGGCGCCAGTGGAGGAACACCATCTGCCCTCCTCCTCCTCCTGCTGCTGCTCCTCCTCCTCCTCCTCCTCTCCTCCTCCTCCTCCTCCTCCTTCTCCTCCTCCTCCTCCCCCTCCCTCTCCCTCTCCCCCTCCTCTCCCTGGACGTCCCCCCCCAGTTTGATACCTCAGCCTCGCTCCAAGAAATCGGCGCGGAGCTCCGCATGTTTCTGCTGCTGCGGACGCTTCTTCCCTCAGGGTGCGGCTCCTCTTCACGGCCACCTTCGCCTTCGCCTTCGCCCTTGGTGCCACCGTACCGGCCTTCGCCGCAGCCGCCCCGCCCGCCGCGGCGGCGGGCGAGGCCGAGACGCCGGACCTCTTGCCCTTGAACCTCGCGGTCGCGGCGCATCATCCTCGTCATCGGTGTCCTCGTCGTCCTCCTCCTCCTCATCCTCGTCGTGGCAATCGTCCTTCTCCTCCTCGTCGTCGTCGTTGTCCACGTCGTCATTGTCGTCGCCGTCGTCGTCGTCGTCCTCAACGTCGTCTTCGTCGTCGTCGTCGTCGTCGTCGTCGTCGTCGTCGTCGTCGTCGACGCCGCCCCCGCAGTCGTCACCGACGTTGTGTTTTGTCGCATTTGAGCGAGCATGCTGGGATTACCTTCCGTGGGCGTTTGTCTCTCCGCAGCCAAGATCGGGCTGGGCGAAAGGGGGGGATAGCAATGGGGGGGTTTGAGAATCAGCTCAGTCGATTTTCCCGGCGCCTCCTGGCGCCGGAGGCGGCTATGTATCGAGGAATGGGCCCCTCGGTGGGGCCGAAACCAGCTGCATGCAGCAGACTTCGTAACTCCCCCTTTCCCAATCTCCCCCTTTCGCCCGGCCCGCCAAGAGAGCGGCTCGGGGGGCTGGCCTCGAGACGGATCGGGGAGGGGGGCAGCCTGTGGCCGCTCCTGTGGGAGCTTTCTGGGGCGTGCCTGACCGTCTGCGGGCTTTCAGGGAGCCTCCCAGGGGACCTCCCCGGGCTTTGCTTCGTGGGGGGGGGGGGGCTGCAAACAGACGGGGGCGGAGGAGAGAAGGGGGCACCTTTCGTGCACTCTCAGACCCACCATCGCAACAACAAATGCACCATCGCAAAACAAATGACGACCAGAACTCCGGACCCCATCTTACTGCGTCACCTTTCTGGCCAGATCGATCTGTGAGGGCGCCCCAAGGCCCGAAACGGACCGACGAAACAGCCGAGCTCGAGAAAACTGGGTCGCCGGGATCTCAGGGGCCCCGGATCCGGGGCCCCTCTGACGCGGTCACTCTGGGACTCAAGACCTCTGAGCCCAGCGGCCGCGCGACCGAGCGCAGACACTCTTGAAGGGGCCCTGGGACACACAAATAAATACACACAAATAACATAATCCCCTATGTTTTCTTATATTTTCTGGCTTTTTGTCTTCCCCCCCACTTCCCATATTTTCCGATATTTTCTTGGGGATCGACGATTAATTGTGTCTGTATGTTTTTTCCCCTCCTGAATGACCTCTGAGCCCAGCGGCCGCGCGACCGAGCGCAGACACTCTACATGCCCCCCCGCCCCCTGGAAGCCGGCACCCTTCGCCGCAGGAGGCCATGGAGAGCGACGGAGGCAGGACCTCACCCGTCGGCAGGGGGGAGAGGGGGCGGTCGAGGAGGCCTGGGGGAGCGAGGAGGATCCCAGATCCCAGACATCGAGGCGGAGGTTTTTCGCAGTTTTTGGCCTCTCGGGGCCCTCGCTGGGCCTCGTGACCGTCAAAAAACGACTCGGGATGAAAAACCGGTCCCAGGGAAGTGGTCGGGAGGTCGGAGGCCCGTGTGTCGAAAAAATCGAGACGTCGGATGTCTGGGATGATGGTCGGTGGCGAGCGGGGGGGGGGGGCAGTGAGAAGGCGAAGGCCTTCTCGGAAAGGCCGGGCTTCTCAGACGCGCGCTGGCCTCCAAAAAAGAGGTTCCCGTGCGCCTGCGGGCAGGGCTCCGAAAGCTTCGCAGAGACGCTGTGGGGCCCCCGAGCCTTCTGAGAATCGACTACACGCGGGAGTGACCCTGGGTAAGAGTGGCCCTTGGTGCGCGGCCTTGTTGGGGGGCCGCGGGGGGACCGAACACATGCGCGCAAGACGCCACCGCATCGCGCCGCGCCCCCCGGTCGGCCCGCACCGTAAGGTCACTCTGGCCAAGGGCCCCTCTTACCCGGACATGCAACGTCCTGGTTTTTTCAAGACGGCGTCCCCAAAGTCCAGACCCTTTCTCCGGGCAACTGTCTTTACGGTGGGGACCGTCTCTGCTCAGCGTGTCGCGCCGGCAGCTCTGGCACACCGCGCTTCGGCGCGACGCGCGAGCCACGTCCCAGCCCCCAAGCGTCAGCGTCCCGAGCTTGTCCCAGCCTCCTGCCTCCCGAGGTAGAAACGCTAACGATCCGCTTGCAAGGCAACTGGAGCGTGACACCAGGGCCGACGCCTCGACACGCCGAGCACGAGTTCCTGGCAGTAGATCGCGCCCCGAGCAGCGAGCCGTGCGCTCCCAGTCCTCCAGGGGGATTGATCTGCTCGCCCCGCGGGCCCCGCAACTCTCGACCCCCTTCCAAGAGGGACCAGGTTTTCGTCCAGGATTGCTCTTCGGAGGGCCCGAAGCCCGCAAAGGCCACCTGGTGGCCGAAACTGCTTTCCGGATGTCTGGTCCGGGCTGGATGTCTGGTCCGCGAAGTCCCCGGGGGCCTCCAAAAGTATTCGCATGTCCCCTGGAGGGGGGCGGAAAAACGTTCAAAACCTCTCGAGCCCGACAACAGCCCTTGGTGGCCGGCATTTTGAACAATGGAGAAAAAAGGCACACACAACACCACACACACACACACACACACACACGTCGTATTCATTTTCCATGACGCTTCAGGAGTGAGGTGCACATGGTAAGAAGTCCTGCTGCGAGAGATTCGGGGGCACATCCGACGTTCAGGTCTGGAGGGAACAAGTAACTGATGGACTCCTGGGTCTTCCCCATAGAGCGGCTTTTGATTATTGTTTGATGTTCGACGGCCCCGGGGAGCCACGAGAACCCGAGGGCGAGCGCTGCCAGAACCATCCAGGACCAAATTCTCGAGGACCCCACGGAGTCTCAACGATGTCGTCCTTTTTGGATGTGAGCCGCAAGGGGTCTCCAGGACCGAATTTCCCCAGGAGCAAATTTCTCCAGGACGTCGTCGCTTTCGGATGTGGGCCCGCCCCAAGGGGTCTCGCCCCCTTCCGCGGGACCGGCTTCTCACGATGAGCCCTTCTTGGGGGCGGCGGCCTGAGGGCCCAACCTGTGCCCGCAAAAGGTCGAAGACGGCGGAAAAACCTTCGGCCGGGATCTTCGGCACGACACGGGCAGCCAGGTGGGGCACCCGCTGGCAGGCTGACACTCTCCTCCTCCGCCTCCTCCTCCTCCTCTGTTTCCTTTTCCTCCGCCTCCTCCTCCTCTGTTTCCTCCTCCTCCTCCCTCCTCCTCCTCCTCCTCCTCCTCCTCCTCCTCCTCCTCCTCCTCCTCCTCCTCCTCCTCCTCCTCCTCATCTGTTTCTTCCTCCTCCTCTCCTCCTCTCCTCCTCCTCCTCCTCCTGCACCTCCTCCTCCTCCCCCTCCCCCTCCTCCTCCTCCTCCTCCCTCCTCCTCCTCCCCTCCTCCTCCTGCTCCTCCTCCTCCTCCTCCTCCTCCTCCTCTCCTCCTCCTCCTCCTCTCCTCCTCCTTCCTCCTCCTCCGCCTCCTCCTCCTCCTCCTCCTCCTCCTCCTCCTCCTCCTCCTCCTCCTCCTCCTCCTCCGCCCCACAGCGCGGCAGCCGGGCGGGGCCTAATCCGCCGCCGCACCGCGGCCAGCGCGTCCTTCGGCCGCACCTCCGCCTCCGGGGCCGCGGGGGGAGCGGCGGAGGCGCGCCCCCGCGACCCCACGGATGGGGGGCGTTTTGTTCGCGGATGCCCCGCGCGGACCGTGCCCATGCGACCACGTATCCACCCCAGACATGATCGGGTCGTAAAAAATCACGACGGAAGGTTTTTGGCCGTTTTCGGCGTCGGGGGGCCCACGCTGGGCCTCGGGACCGTCAAAAAAGGATTCAGGATGAAAAACCGGCCCCAGGTAAAGGGTCTGGACTTCTGGGGACGCCGTCCTGGAAAAATCAGGACGTCGCACGTCTGGGACGGGATCGCACACCGGAGTCCAGACCGCGAGGGCACGGATATGTGCGCCGCTCGTGCGGAGGAGCGGGGCCACCACCACCAGCCAGGTCCTCCACGCGCTGCCATCGACCCTCGTGGAGCAAGGGGGGCTCGGTTTTCCAGACACTCTCTGGAAGAGGCCTCCACAGAGGGCTTCGGGGACCTCTGGGAGTCAGGACACGGGGCTGCATCAAAGCTCTCCTTCTCCTCCTCGTGCTCCTCGTCCTCCGCCTCCTCCTCCTCCTCGTCCTCCTCCTCCTCCGCATGCCCCTCCTCCTTCTCCTCCTCTTTCGCCTCCTCCTTTCCCTCCTTACCTTTTCTCCAAAGAAAAACAAAAAACTGATCCCTGTCACGCCCCGAGACTGGTCGAAAGGTCGGGCCGGGCGTTTCGCTCGAGACTTCATCACCAGCTTTGGCGTTGAAGCTTGGACATCGACACCAGTTTCACACATGGGGGGCGGGTGGTTTTCAAAATGTGTCTCTCGCTTCAGCGCCGCGCGCATTCACGGTAGAAAAAAAACCAAGAGCTTCGCGGATTGAGGGCGGCCTTTCGAAATGTGGCTCTCGCCTCAGCGCCGCGCACATTGCAAGAGCTTCATGGATGGAGGCCCGCTCCTTTCCAAAATGCGGCTCTCGCCTGAGCGCCGCGCACATTCCTTCTAAAAGTTTGCCAAGGAACAATGACTTGAGGATGGCTCCTTTTGAAATTGCCGCTGTCGCCTTGGCACCGCACACAGAAATGATGACGTGGACCAGCTCATGATTGCCAAGGCGCAAAAGTTACGGTTGATTCACGGTGCCGAAGTCCCGGGAATGATGTTCTGGCATGATTCAGAATCGCCAAGACCTCACAATCAGATCAATTCGTAGCGTTGAAGTCCTGGGAATGGTGTTCTGGTGCGCGGCAAGGTGTTCACAAGGTTGTCCCACAACGATGCAATTTCATACATGGAAACGAACCCTCGTAAGGGCCTATGAAAAGGGAGCGTGGAGGATGGGCGTAATAGAATACAATTGATGATGCTTGGGTTTACACTGGTCTTCCCCTTCCTACTCCTCCGCCATTCCTGTCCCTTAGAGATAACTCCTCCCTGTGGCACCCCGAGGCCGGTCGATAGGGCGGGCCAGGCGTTTCGACTGACTTTTCCCCACCACTTATGACCCTGATGCTTGATCATTGGCAACAGC